AAAAATTGTTCTCTTAATATATAATTCTCAACTGTTGGTGGCTCGTGATAATAAAATACATCTATATTATTTTTCTGTGTGTCAGTAAGAAATATCAATACGCATCAGACTTAAACTTTCTTTAGGTTTATTCTTCATACAATTATGAATATATAATAAAACAAAGGATGTTACAGGATGATGGTTGTTCAACAGCAGGTGGTAATCTTTGGAAGGTAGAGATAATCTTTGTCTTTAAAATTTGAGAAGTTTCATACCCACCCCCAACACTCCAGTTAAATAAAGTATGTACGTGACAAAGCCTTTCTCTGTGTAGTTACACCAATCAAATAAGGACATTCTTAAAATGATCAATTATAATAATTGTGTTGGCACTCTACTACAGGGTGGTGCAGGTATTAGAAGTAACCCCCATAAGGACCTCAATAATATATACAAATACATCACTATTAATACCGCACTCAATCGTATATAATATTAGTCAAAAAGAAAATATGTAGAAATGCAAAATTAATTTATTATACAGAGAAAGAGAAGAAAAAAGGGACAAGATAAAAAAAGGACTGTTATTGCCAAATATACAGAATGGTGGACACTCTGTTAATTGAATCAATGTACAATGATTAGTAGAAAAAATTCATAATATTCAAAACCCAGGAAAACGGGTTTGTTTTCCTGGCACTGAAACAATTTGGTTGCAAGACTTTTAATTTATTAGTTCAGAAGGTTCTCTTTGTGCTAATTTTGGACTCTGTCTCCTCCCCCCCCCCCACCCCCCCCAATAATTATAAACTTCTTCTTTTACTATATATAAAAAAGTATAATTCCTTATATTGTCTACATGTATTGCAATGGAATGAAACTGAATGTTTAGCAACTTTTTTTTGCATATTATTTTGGTGATGTAGTAGGAAAAGGTAAATTCCTTTCTAATTCAGTTTTGTGAATGTGGAGTCACTGATTGGCTGAGAGCCAACTGCTCTGAGCCAATCAGCGGTGCCCCTTCCCAGCGGAGAGTGGAGGGGGGGAGGAGGAGGGGGTGACCAGACTTGAACCCAGAGTATCTCCTCCAAAAGCAATAGCTTGTCAGCAGCATGTTAAAAAAAAAAAAAAAAACATTGGTCTTCTGTAAATTATTTCCATTTATCTTGTTTACACAGATCTAGAGATCTGCACGAGTTTGTGTATCTGTATGTTTGCCAGTTTGTGTGTGTGCGCATTGTTCTTTATTCTGTATTTTGTAAATATGCTTGCTGGTCTATACAGCAGCACCACTACTGAGAAATGGATTTTCCAGGTGTGCCCCAATCCTCTTTTTTTTTCTGTGTTTCTGTGCATGTCTCCGTGTGCCTGTCTGTGTATGTGTGACAGTATGCAGACAAAATGTCCCTGGAAATATGTCTACCAGCGAAAACCATTACCAAGAATGGGGGTCAAGCCAGAGCAGCTACAGCTTTCCCAGATGGGCTGGTCAAGGCAGGGTTTATCCTCCCAAGCAGATATCGACCCACTTGTTTCTTCCATGCAGGTATTGACTCCTCTGCCCATCCAGCTTCTTCCAGATGGGTACCAACCTTTTTGCCCATCCTGCTTCTTCCAGACAGGTATCGACCCCTCTGCCCATCCTGCTTCTTCCAGGCAGATACCAACCCTTCTGCCCATCCTGCTTCTTCCAGGCAGATATTGAACCCTCTGCCCATCCTGCTTCTTCCAGGCCGGTATCAACCCTTTGGCTTCTTCCCGGCAGGTATTGACCCCTCTGCCCATCATGCTTCTTCCAAATACCAACCCTACAGCCCATCCTGCTTCTTCCAGGCAGATACCGACCCCTCTGCCCATCCAGCTTCTTCCAGGCAGGTATCACCCCTTCTGGATTCCCTGAACAAACCAGACAGGATACGCAGTTCCCAATGAAACTACCACATAATTCTTTATTTGCACTTAGGACAAGCCCCTATCCACATTACATCACATTTATGACGACACACTCAGTTCATACAGGCATTTCTATAACACAATACAATATTTATAAAGGGGTAGGGAAGTAGAAAACTAACAAGAAATATGTCCCCTTGACTGCATAAACCATAATTTGCAAATCTGCCTGAATATGCAAAGTATCAAGCCTTGCTATTCCTGTAGTCACTACAGGAATAGCAAGGCTCGATAATTTCCATATACAGTGTAGTGCATCTAACTGTTGCACACTCATTTACAACCAACAGGTGGAGCTGTAGAGCCATTACAACCAGACAGGAGATTACACAAGATATTACATACATTATGCATCTTGCACCTATAATGGGAACATGTTGACTTAAACATAAAAGCTCTCTGGGAAACCCCATGAGGTGTCAGATATACGATCACAGTATGTTTGTGCCTTTCAGTGTCTGTGTGTACCTGTCTGAGTCCAGACCTCCCAAACGGCACGATTTCGGCAGGACAGTCATGATTTTCGGGGTCCTGTCCTAGCTTGCATAGTTACATAGACTAAAGAGGTCCATCAAGTTCAGCCTTTCTCATATCTGTTTTCGCTGTTTACCCAAAAGAAGGCAAAAAACACAGTTTGAACTAAGTGCTTCCAATTTTGCAACAAAGTACAATAATAGTCTTTCCTGACCCCACAATGACAAAATCTTCATGGATCAAGAAGCTGTTACCCCACATATTAAAAATTACATCCCTGAAGATTTTGTATTTGGAAGTATTAATCCAGTTGCTGTTTAAACATCTGTACAGACTCTGATAAACCTTCAGACAGAAATTTCCACATCCGTATTGTTCTTACTGTATAAAACATTGTCCTTTGCCTTAGCCTAAATCTCCTTTCTTCCAGTCCTAATATGTGATCTTGTGTCCTCTGCATAGTACTATTTATTAACAGATTTCTGGACAATGGTCTGTTTTTGGCCCTGAATATATTTGTGTAATGCCATCATATTCCCTCTGAGGCTACCTTTTTCTAAGCTAAACTGATTTACACTTATTAACCTTTGATCATAGCTAAGAGGTTCCTTTCCTTTTATTAAAATTATAGCCAGCCTCTGCACATTTTCTGGTGTCATAGTATCCTTCTTTAGAACAGGTGCCCAAAGTTGACACACAATAAAAATGTACACCTTAGGCACAGGAACATAGAATATAAATACCTATCCCTGTGTAGCAAATGGACAGGAAACCTAAAATATAAAAGATAACACATAGTGCTTTCTGTATATACAGATAAAAGAACAAAGTAAAATGGTGGAATATAACTCACAAAGGCTCTATATAATGTGCTCCAGGGTGCCTATACAGGCTTCCTCTGTGATGGAAATACTGAAGATGGAGGCTCCAGGTAAATGTAGAAAAACTATATTATAAACAATATAACTCTGGGTTAATAAACATATCGGGACAAAAAGCAGCGAGTAAATAACAAATGTAAGTCACGGCAGAAAGAAATAATAAAAGTACCAAGAAAAAGTCAGCAGACGTGTTTCGATGACTCCTGGAGTCTTCCTCAATGCCCCAAGAAAAAGTCATCAGACGCGTTTTGACTCCTCCTGGAGTCTTCCTCAATTTCCAAAGTTGCACTGTATGTTCATGGTGTGGACTTAGTTTCCAAGTGTCCTGCTTTTGCCAACTCTGATTAATAACCATTGTCCTCCTGGGGCTGTTTATGTGCCTTTGCACTGATTATGTGGAAATTACACTTCATGCACAGCACTTTCAGCAATCCAGTATGAACATAGTATTTAATAATAAAGAGGACACCTGATAGGATTATTTGCTAAAGTGAGAATTAAAAGTGAATTTTAAATGGAACTGGAACAAGAATGTGCTATAAGGGTAGCTTACTCTGAATGTTTCCAGCTATTTTCACCTGAAATTCACTTTGAATTCTTTCTTTAGCGAATAACCCTGAGTGTGTGGTGGTGGTGTATGTTCGGATATGTGTGTACACGTTAGTTCATATTTGTGAATTTCTGTGCTTTAACATGGGTCTGAGCATGTGCGTGTTTAGGAGAGCAAATGTGTGTGCCAAAAAGGACCACAAAAGGATTTTGTAAAGGGCCCCGCTTCCTTATTGCCCACAAAATATAATCCCAAACCCAACATACAAACAGTGGAGTATTGTTGATCCCATATCAATGTTTGCCTTAAAATAATATGGTTAAGGCAATATTTCATAATTTCCTTAACTATAAATTTACATGGACCAGTAACAAAATGTGATTTCCTTTTTTAATTATGAATATTCAGTGACATATTTAAAGGAACACTATAGTGACAAGAATACAAACAATGTATCCCTCTGACTAGAGCTGTAATAACACTATTTAGGTTTCTGTCCCCCTGTAACTAATGTAAAAGACCTTTTATTCCTGTGTGTCTGTCCCACCCGCCTCCATGACTGAGATTATCAAACTTGATGATCTCGGCCAATCTAATGCTTTCCTATAGAAAGCGTTGAGAGGCTACTGCGCATGCACGTAAAACATCACAATGCTCAGATCAGCATCTCATCTCTGCGGGAATCGTTCAGCGCCTCCATCCAGAGCGTGGCCCTTGTTAGTACCGCTAGTGGCTGAGGTGTCCCTAGGCAGTAATGTAAAATATTACCTTATAAAGCCTGCAGAGACTGACTATACTAACCACACACAGCTATATGAAGCTGTAATTGTTGTGGTCACTATAGTGTCCCTTTAATTGTGACTATATATATATATAGAGAGAGAGAGCTGTATTGCACTCCATGTGAGCCTGGCAGGGCTGGCAGCCGGCTGCCAGGCAGTGAGGGCGGACACTGGGCAGCGCGCTGCTCACGCCAGTTTAATACGCTTCATGCAAACGGTCGCGCGAGGCCACGCCCACCGCCACGCCCTCCTTTTCTTTCTTTTTTGTCGCCGTCGAGCAGTCCCGCCAGCCAATCGCAGCGCTGCTCGGCCAGCTCGCCCAGTAAGCGAGGCCGTGGTAATAAGGTTTGCGACGCACGGGCACGTACAGCTCCCAAGATGGCGGCGACCGGTGAGAGCGGTGGGGTAACCGGAATCAAGCGGGAGCATCTCGGCATTCCCGAGGCGGTGTTTGTGGTAAGATGTACGCTGCGTGCGCGCTCTCCCCCCGAGCTGCCGGGGGGTCCGTGCAGGGGGTCCCCGAGAGAGGCCCAGCATGGCCCAGCGTGGAGCATGGCTGTCATCATGGTAACTGAGGCGGTGCCATGCCTCTCAGGGAAGATCGTGGCCGCCTCAGCCACACTGCCTCTCACACAGCAAACCGGCTGATACCAGACAGCATTATTTAAAATAATTACACAGTGTGTGTGTGTGTGTGTGTGTATATGTCCCATCTGTGCATTGTTAAAATAGCTGACAGGCAGCCCCAATGGTATGTGCAGGCCTTTACTATTTATAAATATCAAGCCCCACATTATGTCACAGTGCAGCACAATGGTTGGGCAAGATTTATGTAAGTATTTAAAAAAAAAAAAAAAAGGTGTAATTTACATGTTTAGGAGGTGGTAATGGCCCAGGCCTTGTTCTGCTTGTGATGGATACGTGTTTAGAACCTATGGCTTTAGAATAGCTGCATGTTAATAATAGCTTTAAAGAGATACTATAGTGTTAGCACGTTAGCTCCTCTCCTGCTTAGTAAGAGTTCAAATACCCTTACTGTACTTACCCAGTGCCAGTGTAACTCTGCCCTCTCTGTCATCCGATGTGGGCGCTAATGCGCAGATGCATCCGGCGCATTAGTTCCACCCAATAGGAAAACATTTCTGTAATGCTTTCATATGAAGAATTGACTGCTTCTGGATGTCCTCATGTAGCGCATGTGAACGTCCAGCGTCAGGCAACCAAAAGTTTCCTCACCACCTGGAAGTGCTACTGGAGGCATTCTTAATCCTGCAAGGTAGTTAATGCAGTTCCTCAGATACTGCAGTAATTACCATTGCAAGCTTAAGAGGACAGGAACATTGCGCCCAGACCACTTCGATGAGCTGAAGTAGTCTCGGTGTCTATAAAGTCTCTTTAAAAACGATAGGCACACAGAACACTTAATCTTAGCGAAGTGGTCAGGGTGCAGTGAGCTTTTAATTTTAACCCTACAAGCTAATACATTATCGTTGCAGTAGATACTGCGATGTTTGCAGTGTTAAACCACATCTATTGTCTGTCTTCCTGGCATCCTCTGAAGGTGCTTCAGCTGAAAAACCAACTGATTCCATTATTTAATCAAATGCTCATAGAGCGCATTTGATTGGCGCAGCATTTTGCTATGCGGGCGCACTAGCCACACCACGCTTGCCAGTTGGGAAGTATTGGGTTGCTGAGATCATCAATCCTGACAATTTAAAACAGGTGTCGCAGTGAGGGAGTAAAGTTGGCAAAAACTATCTTTTAAACACGTAGGGGTTAACACTGTAGTATTCCTCTAACATAGCATCTAACTGAGTGAGATTCATACCACTGTATTTAACTTTTTACATTTAGTTTGTACATTAGCTGAAGACGTACAGAATTGAAATGTACCAGTAAAGCAACCTCTGCTTTCACATCTTCAATCTGAACTGATCTGTGACATTTCCACTTTGTCTTCTACTTGTATAGTAAAAATAATTTTAAAATGGAGTAATTTCATTAAAAGTTCTCCTCTGCATTAATTTGAAATTTCCACATTTATCACCAGCTCATGCCAACATGACTACATTATGATGTAAATAAGCAGGATTCTGACAGATTAAATATAATGATGCCAGTATATGCAATCAGTGCTCAATGTTTCCACTGGCGAGTAGAGTCCTTCTGTAACATTTACCTCTGGTCCACTCGTGCTGCTCCTGTGGTCTTCACTTATTTGCCCTGCAAACCTTCTCCATGACAATGACCTGTTGTGGGTTCCCCATTCCTTTACGCCCCAGCCAGCACTCGCAACACTGGCCGGGACGTTACCTTTTGTTCTCCACCCGTAGCAACCACAGCACAAGCATGACACCACCATGCTTGTGCTGTGGTTGCTACGGGTGGAGAACACAAGCACTGCCTGTGGGAGGTCTCTTCTGCTCTACCTGTCAAATCTTCGGCATGTACCGAAGAGCTGATTGACAGGTGGGAGAAAGATATAGTTTTAAAATAGGTGTTTCTCCCGATTGTTACATTTGCTAGCACAATTTGCACAGTGTATAGATGAAATGTCATGCTCTTTCCAAAGTGCATGAGGAGTGGGGGGGGGGTCCTCTCTAAAGCCTGGCTAGTAGCATATATACTTAAAATTTATAAGTCCTAGTTCAATATTTTCAGGATTCAATGTGCTTTTATTTAGAGTTAGCAGTATAAGGTACATAAGTGACCCCTAAATTTTCAGTAATGACCACAAAAGAATGATGCAAGCTTTTATATTTTCTCTTTATAAAATATTAATTTTGTATTAATTCTTTATGGTTCCTTTAAATATATGTTTGGGCTGCACACACTCTTTGCCTAAACCAAGGAAACTGCCTTAACCCCTTAAGGACCAAACGGCTGGAATAAAAGGGAATTACCAGATTTTACTAATTACATGACGTAAAGTTGTGATTTTATAAAGGACACGGAGGCGAATATTATGCTTATCTCCTTCATTATACCTCGGCAGCAAAGAGAAGGTATAAGACATTCATAGAAAAAAAAAAAACTGGAACAAGTTCTCAAAGGGTTAACACAACATTCTACCCTTAACCAATGGGAACAGTCCATAACCACCCATGTGACCTCTCCACTCCCTCTTTCTTTGGTCCTGCCGAAGCTTAATCACTATAAACGTGAGTAGAACAACTGGAACAACATATCCAGTGTGTCGAACTATAAACGGAACTGTGGAACTTATCTGCGTGTACTGTGATGATAACCATTCATCCACGACGTCGACTGTTGCTCATCAAGCTGAAATGGGAGAGAAAAAGATATGGGAACGTGTGGTCTAGAGACTGTTTGTCACATTGATGGTGGCTAATTCTTACTATACATGTTATTGTCTACAGACTAACTTACATGCTGTAGGTGCTACTGTATGTAATATATCTCTATCATACATAATCAACTTGAATCTAGACAAAGCCCCCAATGATGACTCCCACTACTACAACTTACCGGGTGGGAATTCAACTCTTTTTGTTTATCTGGTAGAAAAATGAGATGCTTACCGGGTGGGCTAATATTCGCCTCTGTGTCCTTTATAAAATCATGACTTTACGTCATGTAATTAGTCAAATCTGGTAACTTTATTAAAGGACACGGAGGCTCATATTATGCTAGTTCAAAGCTGTGCAATAACTGACGACGATACGTGGTCTGCAGGGCGAAAATAGTATTCCTTAAAGGTGGATTCACGGGACCAGTCTGCCGTCTGCAAAAGGTCTTCCAATCTGCATCCCAAAGTAAATGCTTTAGACGTCATGGCTCCCCTAGTGGAGTGTGCCCCATATATGGAGGTATCTATATTTGCAGAGGTCATTATCAATCTCACCCATCGGGCTATTGTTACCGAAGATACTGGTTGGCATGGCGTGTTAATGGCCAGGAACAATTCATGATGTCTAGGGTTTCAAAATGCTTGTCAGTTTCTCGTATTCTTTGAGACAGGCTATTGGACATAGGTTTGCATTGTGAGGGAATGCTGGATATGATACTGTTGAGATCGCTGATTTAGTACGTCTGGAAATGTTGAAAGTCACTCCCGTTGGAGTGAACGAGCGTGCATCAACATCCAATGCTCGGATGTCTGAGACTCTTTTGCATGATATCAAGCAGAAGAGCATGGCCAGTTTCGCTGATAGTTGTTTAAGTGTGAGAGTAGAGTTCTGTGGCCATTGTTCCAATAAATTTAAGACTAGATTTACATCCCACATTGATGTATATAGGGGTTGTGGGGTTCTTGCAAATCTAACCCCGCATAATAGTCTGCACACCAGAAGGTGTTTACATGCTGGTGATCCTTCTATGCCCTTATGTCCAGCGGATATCGCTGACTTGAATACATTGATAGTCTGGTATGCTAGGCCTTGGTCGTATAGGCGTGTAAGGAAACGCAGTAGGTAGTTCACAGGGGCACATATGGGATCCACTTGTTGTTCCAGGCCCGAGTAGGATCTCTGTGTTCCTGGAGCCCAGGCTCCCGCCAGTAGTTCAAGAGTTGCCTGTGGAACCTCTGGCACGACCCAGGGTCCCCTGAAAGGAGCCACGCTAATAACCTGAGTTGTCCCTGCATCATCAGTGGGTGTGGGTTCCCTTCGGGATCTGACAGACGCGGGTTCTCGGAAGCAGTCTAGGAAGGTCTATAGACATCTCCATGAGTGAAGGGAACCAAGGCTGTGTTGTCCAGAATGGCGTTATGAGGACCAGAGGTGTCTGTGAGCGGTCGAGATGTACCAAGGTCCGTGCCAGCAGAGCGAACGGAGGGAATGCGTACAGTCTTCTGCTCGGCCATGGTTGGAGGAATGCATCCGTAGCTAGTGCCTCTGGATCTGGTCTCCAGCTGAAGAATTCCGGAAGTTGTGTATTCAATTGAGACGCAAACAGGTCCATGTACATCGGGCCCCACAGCGTTTGTTGTCGTAGGAACGCTCTGCGGTCCAGGTGCCAATCGCTGGCATCCCGCAGGTGTCTGGAGTTCCAATCCGCTACGATATTAGAGAGTCCCGGGATGTATTCGGCTCGTATTGATATGTTGCGGTCCAAGCAAAATTGCCAGAATTCTGTGGCTAAATCTGCAAAAATTTTGGACCTGGTGCCGCCGAGGCGGTTGATGTATTGCACTGCTGATATGTTGTCCATCCTCAAGATGATGGAGCAATGTGTCGTGGGACCTAAGAGGCTCTTCAGCGCGAATGATCCCCCTATAAGTTCTAGGCTGTTGATATGCAGTGCTCTTTCTGATTGGGACCATCTTCCGCCTGTGGAGATATGACCACCACAACGTGCTCCCCAACCCTGTGTGCTGGCATCGGATTCTATTATGCAGTCTGGGGCGGTGCCGAAGATCGCTCTGCCATTCCACGCTTCCATGTGTTGCAGCCACCACTTGAGTTCCTCCTTGGCTGTGTGATCGAGTTGCACGGAGTTTGAGTAGGAGTGACCTGATTGTAGCTGAGCGGCTTTTAGTCTCTGTAGGGCACTGTAATGCAGAGGTCCCGGGAAGATCGCTTGTATGGATGCCGAGAGGAGTCCAATTATTCTGGCTAGTTGTCTCTCAGTGAGCGTTGGGCGAGCCAACGTTCTACAAATCTCCTTTTTGATGGTTTTGATCTTCGTGAGCGGTAAGTTTAGGGTCCCATGGACTGCCTCTATATTGAATCCTAGGAACTCTATGGACTGGGAGGGGATTAGCACCGACTTCTCCCAGTTGATTAGGAATCCTAGGTTACGTAGAAGCGCTATTGCCCAGGTTAGGTGTTGTTGAAGTAAGAGTACATCCTGTGTCATGATCAGTATATCGTCCAAATATATGATCATGCGCACTACTCTGCTGCGCAGCAGCGCCACCACCGGTTTCAACAGTTTCGTAAAGAACCATGGTGCTGATGATAGGCCGAATGGCAGTCACTGGAACCTCCACGTCTGTGCGTTCCATTGATATTGGAGGAGGTGGTGACATTCCTTCACGATGGGGATGGCGAGATTGGCATCTTGCAGGTCTAGTTTGACCATCCAATCCCCCAACCTGAGAAGGTCTCGCAGGCAATGAATCCCTTCCATTTTGAAGTGGTGATATCGTACAGATGCATTGAGTGGGCATAGGTTGATCAGCGGCCTTACTCCCCCGCCCTTTTTGGGAATCAGGAACAGGTTGCTCAGGAAACCCGGGGAGTGAGGTGCGACTTGGTAGATCGCGCCTTTCTCCTTTAGTGCTTTGTTTTCCCTCGACATGAGTTCCCTGTCCTGTGGGGTAAACACCATCCGCTGTGGCATTGTTGCTTGGACTGGGATAGTCTGCCCCCTACATATGATGTACAAGAAGGGGGGGGGGGGGAGGAAGAGTACTTACCATAAGGCCGTCGGCCGTATGTGGCACCCCTGTGTCCTCTGTGTTGCAATGATCTGCCCCTGACTGGAAAGAAGGGTGAGGGACTTCTGGTCTCCGTCTGTGGGAACCTGGATGTAGTGGGGCCCCGTTAGCCCCGGTAGGAGCCCCGTGATGGCAGCTGGACAGACGGCCCCGGTGTCTGCCAGCCCTCCCAAAAACCTTTGGGGAGAACACTTGTTTCAAGTTTGTTTGCGCCTTGTCCAGGGCTGTAAATGTGCTCACATAAGTGCCCAACTCCTTCACGAAATTGTCTCCGAAAAGGAGGCCTTTTGCCTGAGGTCCAGGCTCAGATATGGCCATATTGACCAGTTTTGGGTCAATCTTCATGAGGATCGCTTTGCGTCTCTCTGTACTTAGCGCAGCGTTGGAGTTGCCGATAAGGCAAATAGAGCGCTGTGCCCACTCTATAGCCAAGAGGTCTACTGGTGTGCCACCTGAGAGTGCAGCTTCGACCATGTCAAAAAAATTTGCGCTGGGGCCCAAGGAGTCAAGCACCTTATCCTGGCAGTGGCGCAGGGAGTAATCCAGCCCTTTCTTGGCTTTCCAGACAGCTTTCCCCAGGAACTGGGCAATTTTTGGGTCTAGTTCCGGTGTGGCACAAGCCATATCGGGGACCGTTGGACGTGGGCATTCCGCCCTAAGTTTATTCCTGGTGGCTTTATCCAGGGGTTTTCTAATCCTGGCCACTATATATTGGGCCACATGGTCAGCTGGGAACCATTCCGTAGACCTAGGGTGTTTGTAGGTCATCCGGATTAAATAGGGGCTCCCCCTGCGGGTCTAAAATGACGGAATCATCCGTGGCCACCTTGCCCATGTTGGCTGGTTTGACTGCTAAGCTGCGCTATGGAGAAGAGTTCTCAGATTCAAAAGAGCCGATTTCCTCGGACTCGCTCAATACTTTCTCAGGGTCCGAATCAGTCGGATATCTCTGTTAGGGCTTTTGCCCATTTCCATGCCCTCACCGTTTTTGCCCGGCGGGTGTCTCGTTTACGTGGGGGCCCCACGTCCTCATTAGTGACAGGACGCGACCTGTCAGTCATGCTAGTTTTGGAGGTTTGCTTGCCCACATGGTTGGTCTTTTCTGTAGCCTTGCGCTTGCTGAGGGATGCAGGCTTGTCATCTTGGGCCTTGGGGCGGAGGCCGCTAGGGTTGTGGCTAGACGCCAAGATGGCGTTGCTGAATGATTGGGTCAGGTTATATGACATCGCCCCCATCGCTGTGTAGATGGCTTGGGTGACCGATTTGGTCATTGTCACATCTAGGAGTGAATGGAACTCTTCCGAGTTCAGTTGCTCCATAGATGCCATATCCTCTCCCTGGGGGAGATTGGGCGCGGAGCAGGGGACACGCGGTGTGTGTGGTGTCCTTACTGGCAGCAGTAGGAATGGAAACCTCCTGGTCCTTGGGGTGCTGCATTCTCGACAAAGAATCTGAAGCAAGCTTGGAACACTAAACTTACTATCAATGGGAGCAAGGGCACTCTGAATGTAACAGAATATATATGTGTGTGTGTAAGATATGCTATGATAGCACACAGCAATACTGTCACTTTAAATTCTATGTTGGAAAGTATTACAATCCTCTGCAAGCGAAACAGTTAACAATGATCTCTCTGGCCAGTTAAGTGTGACCGGGCAAGGCACAAACAAATGCTGTCAGCTTACTGAGTGTTCCTTCCGGAATGGCCGCAAGGGAACACTGGCAAGCTGCCAGCCACAGTCAGTAACCAATCTGAGCGCCCCCGCCCCTGGGGGCGCTGGGGAAAGTGTGGCAAAATCCCTGTCAGAGGCGGCAGTTACAATGGCCGCGGTGCGGCCGCCAATGTACCTGTGCGCGCGGCACCCGGCTGTGAAATGCCCGCACTGGGCAAACAGCTGCCGCGGAGTATAGCAGGGGAAAGGACCGGGTTGCCTGGAGGTGCGCGGGTAATAAACTACCCGGAGAGGTGAGGGAGGGGGTTTACCGCCGGGGAGGACGGGAAACCATAGGGAGGGATAGTAAAGTCATATGAACCTTCGTTATACCAATAATTAATTATACAGAGATGGTCTATACACAGAAGTATACATGAAGAGAATTACATAAAAGAATATACAAACTCCTATGAACCTTATTTCTACCCACAATAAAGTATACAGACGAGATATATACAGAAGTATACATGAAGAAAAATACATAAAGGAATATACCAAATCTAGCAAATCCAAACAGAAATTTCTCTGGAGTAGAGAGAGCTAAAATTGGGTAATACTTAGCTGAGGCAGCGGCAAAGAAAGAGGGAGAGGAGAGGTCACATGGGTGGTTATGGATATGTGGTCTGTTCCCATTGGTTAAGGGTAAAATGTTGTGTTAACCCTTTGAGAATTTGTTCTAGTTTTTTTTTTTTTCTATGAATGTCTTATACCTTCTCTTTGCTGCTGAGGTATAATAAAGGAGATAAGCATAATATGAGCCTCCGTGTCCTTTAATAAAATCATGACATGTCACACATGTCATGTGTCCTTAAGGGGTTAAAGAAAACACTTTTTAGTGTTTAGAATGTAAAGATCTATTAAACTGTTGAAGTTAACTGATTTTGATTTCTGCACCTTCTTCTTATATGCAGGAAGATGTAGAGGCTTTTATGAAGAAACCTGGAAATGAGACAGCAGATGCAGTCCTCAAGAAATTGGATGAGCAGTATCAGAAATATAAGTTTATGGAAGTAAATCTTTCTCAGAGAAAAAGAAGGTATTTCATGTTTCCATTTGATTATTTTTTTTTAAATGAAAATAATCTTTTCCCATGATGTAATAACATCTGTTTGTTCTGTATTTTGATTATTCTGATGTCTGTCTTATTTATTGTGCCTCAACAACGTTGGCTTACTGAAGCAGTAGAAATTATGTCTCTGACATCTCACTGCTCAAGTTACTTTTGTTTTTATCCACGTGACCCCTGGTTGTGATTGACACCCCCTGAATGAAAAAATGTCTTTGTTTTACAAGTGTTTATCTGCTCTGTAAACTTTAACCACACACTGCATAGAAGGCTATTAACAGGAGATTAGAAATTCAAAATCAAACATTTGTTATAAAGGAAGTTTAAACATTAGATCTTTTAAAAGGATGTGTTTAGGGAAGCTGTGCACATTACATACAGGGAGGTGTGATTAGGGGTACATAAACAAAGTGGTTGAACTATGGCAAATAATTGAGCAGTGAGACTGTAGGGCAAGGCATGTCAAAGTCTGGATCGGGCCACATAAACAAGGTTTATGTGGGGCGCAAAAAAAATACTGTAAATTTTCATAGAAACTTAGGTTTATTTTTAAAAGAATAGTATAAACCCCCTCTACTAATCCACAGCGCCCCCTCTACAAAATCCCAGCCCACCCTCTACTACTGACGTCTACCACCCTGTGACAAATCTGATCCTCCCGCTGACACACACACACACTCACTCACTGACAGACATACACATACAGACACACTGAGACACACATGCTCGCAGACAGGCACATTATTTTCTTTATTGCTCCTTACCTTATGGAGCCGATGTGGGGCATCTCCCTGGGGTCCTTCCTGCTCCCTCGCGTGGTTTAGTGATGCCGGGTGCTGGAATATGACGTCATATTCTGGCGCCCGGCTTCGCTTCAGACGGCGCGTGCGAGGGAGCAGTGAGGAGCAGCAACACTGAGCTCCATCGCTGGCCGCGTGTTAGCAGAGTAGGCACCTGCAACATGGGGAAAGCAGGTGCCTACTCTATTACACCAGCATGTACTCTCGGCTCGCTGGGCCGCAAAGACGGTCCTTGTGGGCCACGAGTTTGACATCCTTGCTGTAGGGGAATGATCTATAAACCAAAACTACTTCATTAAGCTAAAGTTGTTTTGGTGACTAGTGTCATTTTAAAAAAGCACACTCCAACTGATAAAAGTGTATGTACAAATGTATGTGTTGGCAAATTTCTAAAAGTTTGCATCCATTCAGGGCAGTCTATAACGTGGGGCAAAAGGGGCAGCTGCCCTGGGCCAAGTTGCTCCCAGGGAGCCCAAAGCAACTGCACCGATCCTAAAATTAAATTGTTGCGGGCCTGCACACTAAGGGGGCCCAGGGCACCACATTCAGGGAGAATTGATTCCTCACTGTGCCAAATCTGCTAATCGGCTGGTGGGGGGGAGGGGTTGCCAGAGCCGGATGCAATAGTCTCCGTTTCTGGTCGAGCCCCCTTCTTTGAGCTAGCAGGAAGATCAACAGCTGTTGAATAGACTCCCTGGTGGTCCAGTGTGCTGCTGCGTCTGCCACACTCTCACGCGGTCCGGAGCACTAGGAGTGTCAGAGCAGCCTGGTTCCACCGCCAAAATTAAAGCTAAACACACCCCTGCATTCAAAAACGAACACTACACATAAATGTATACTTGCATTCAAATGCAAACACACCCCCTACATTCATACAAAAAAATGCTTACATACAAACACTGCTCAGTGCTAAATACAACCTTGCAAGCATAAGGAAATGGTAGAGCCCCAGCTGTCAAAGCATTGTTGGAGTTGCATGACAGATGGGGATCTACCTTTTGGCCACCCTTGCAATGGCGGGACCCAAAACAAGTCTTCCACCAGGGCCCTCTCTACTTTAGTTCTGTCACTGCGTTGCAGTGGAGGACGTGATTGCATGCCAGGGTGTGGGGAGGCAGGGTCCAGGGGCCCAAGCAAATGCTTGCCCAGTGTCCAACTATTAAAGATGGCCTTGCATCTATCCCACTGGTTTGGTTTATGCGTGCAACACCGTGATAATACTATGCAGACTGCTGCATCTAACAAAACCAATAGTAAATAAAAATTAGATAATTTTTCTATATTTATTTTTTATTTTTTTTGAGACCCTGCAACCATGCAAATAAGTATTCCTGGCTGAACCCAGTACATTTTACAGTTTGGTATACGTAATAAACCTGGATTTAGTCATGAATGTGTAAATCCATGCCAAAATTTTAGATAAATAATAAACCTACCGTGAAAATAATTTTCTCTACGTCTCACTTCTCTGTAAGCAAAATTATTTATTTTTGAAAAATGATTCAATCCATTTTTTCTTTTTCCTATACAGGTTAAAAAATCAGATTCCTGAAATTAAGCAAACATTAGAAATTTTAAAACATATGCAAAAGAAGAAGGTATGTTTTTTTGTTTTGTTTTCTCCCTACTCCAAAGTTTAGTGAATTCAGAAATATGTTTGGGTATTATTTAATCTGTATAGCTTCCTTTATTTAATACAAGGTTTCCTTTGTCACATGTGACATGTCAGTACATCTAATTGAAGTGGGTATAGCTTCTGGAATCCCCTGGCACAGTCCTTCTGTACATTGGTAAACTGTTTTTAAAGGAACACTATAGGCACCATAACAAATTAAGCAGAATGACACAAACACAAAAGTCTTTAATTCAGAGCCATTTAGCTCTGTCTATCTGCTTCTCACTTGATTCTTGAAACACAAAGTCTTTAATAGGGTCTTAACTGGTTGACTGAGAGTGTCCACTGTTTCTTCAAGCCAATTAGTACCTCTCCATACACAAAACTACTTGAGAAATGTACAGACTTTTCTCAAGCCGCTTCCATGAAAGGGGAGCTAGTGATTAATTTTGAGCCACAATGAATGCTCTCAGCCGATCAGCTGTGCCCCTGTCCAAAGATTTCTATTTCAAAAAGTGGAAGGACATGGGCAGAACTTAACTGTTGGTCTCAAGACTTGGGAATTAAACATTTTTTATGAAAGGTTTAACCTCTAAGGCAAGGGTGCTCAAAAGGTGGATTACCCAGATTTTATTTTTTAAATTTTTAAAAAAAATTTTTTTTAAACTACAACTTCCATGATGTTTTTTCATATGAAAAACATCAAGGTAGTTGTTGATCATGCCAGGGTGTAAGTAGCCAAGGATTATCATGTGACATTGCCAGGGGTCTCCTGGCTGTGTAAAGGGACACTGTCTGTTTTTATTTGCAGTTCACTCTTTCTTTCAAGCATCTTGCCACTGAGCCCCTCTCCCCATATCTACTACTCTATATAGTGTTTCTGATGACCATATTTTCTAGAATAATATGCAATTTCGTTAATAACTGCCATAGTGGCTGTACCATTTTCCATGGACATTAGACATATCCTGCATGGTTTCAGCAATATCCAGCCATAAAAGTGATTGTGTTGTGACTCTGTTTAGAAGGAGTGTTGCACTTTGGTTTCCTGTCAGTGGGTGCCTTTCTCTTCAGTGAGTGTTTCTATGAACATATTTTAATTTTTAAAGTGCAAACATGTATTTTATTTTATAATGATGCTTGTCATTTTAAGATTTTCATTTTTTAAAAATTATTTTAATAAACTCTTCCCTCTGTTATTTCTGTCAGGATACAACTGAACCAATGGAAACCAGGTATTTACTGGCAGATAATGTATATTGCAAAGCATCCGTACTGCCCACCGATAAAGTCTGCTTGTGGCTGGGGGTGAGTATGTTATATTAACATTATATCGCACCAACATTCTGCAATGTTTTATGGTAACACAATTGTAATGCCAAAATTGGGGATACTTGTGGCTGCCATGGCAACAATTACCACCGTACCCAGAAAAAAAGAATTGTGGTAATATTTGGTTTTTCTTTTCACACCATAGTGACATAGCGGTTGGTAATAAAGTTGCCGTAGAATTACTCACATTTTGCATTCATATTACTTGTTTGACTTTTTGCATTATGTAGGCGAATGTGATGCTGGAATATGATATTGATGACGCTCAGGCTCTGTTAGAAAAGAATCTCTCTACCGCAAGAAAGAATCTTGAATCTACAGAAGAGGACCTTGATTTCCTACGGGACCAATTTACCACCACAGAAGTCAGTATCCTTTTGGATTGTAAATAAGCTTCTTTTTAAATTTTTAGAAATGCAGTTGAGTTACATCAATTACACACTCTGTCTAGACTATTAGTAAAACTCTGTCACAAAACTTGGAAGCCTCATAGAAAAGCATTATTTCAGTGGTTTCCTATGGGGACTTTGAATGCAGACATGGAGCTCACAGCGCATGTGTTGGATTGGATAATTGGCAGTTGAGGCTCTGCCTACTCAGTGATGTTGTGTGAAGCGGAGAGGTAAGCTGTGACAAGTGAGCTTTGTGCTGGAAAAAGGTAAGACTTTTTTTTTTTTTTTTCTCCTTCCTACTTTCAAGGAATTATTGATTTACACAATTATTTTGTTGGTCTCTCTCGTTATGCTTTGTGCAACTTTTTTAAAAGCAAAATTGCTACTGTACTTTCCTCCGAACCACTTGGCATGCGGAGACCAAGGACAAAACCATCATGTAAGACCAGAGTTTGTACCAATGATTCCCCCTCAAATGGGTCCTGCTGGTGAACCAGCCCATGTCTTTGAATTCAAACAGGCATGCTGTGTTTTTAAAGCTAGTATGGAAGTAACCAGAGCTTACCCAGTATTGGCTCTTCAAAACAATCTAATATTGTTTTTAATACTTCCTGCTTTCATTGCATGTCAGGTTACCTGTGTTCTATGATTTGTTGGATTCTGGGTGTCCCCAAGGCACCCACAAGCTACCCACCAGTTGGTTTTTAAGTGACCCTCTATGGAAACTATGGAATATTCGTGATTTGATTGATTTTCCTTGACCAATTTTCCAGATATGGCTAGAGTCTATAATTGGGATGTAAAAAGAAGAAACAAGGATGATCCTTCCAAAAGCAAAGCATAGATCATATTTTAAATGAAACAAGTTTCCATGCCCACATTGTTTTAAAAAAGAAAAACCAAACACTCAACTATTTGGAATCGATGCATTCTCTCTTCATTTTCTAAAGTGAACTACTGTTCAAAAACCAGGCACCATTTTATTTATTTGATCAATCCAACTTCATTTGTCTTTTTTATTTTATATAAATATAATGGAATGAAGAGGAAAAGGCACATAGTATAGAAATTGCTCCATCTCACAATTTAGAAAACTGCAGAGAAACACTGATAAAATTGTGTAACTTCAATTGTTAATGCTTTCCATAGTCTTACAAGTTTATTATATTTGTTTATGGTAACCTACAGAAAAGAATTTGGATTTTAACACTGAGTCTCATGCGTTGATTACAATCCCCATACAATAGAGCTGATGCTTTTGTATACGTTGGCTTTTTTCTGTAGATATATTTTTCCACAAGATAAAGTCCATGTGTGCTCCACAATCAGCCTTTCTAGCACCTACGTTCTACAAACATTTTATGCTGCCTGTGTATGAATCTTAACATCCCCAATTTACTTTAAATGCAATATATAATTTGATTATGTAATGGTATTAGAACACACTTTATTTTTAATTTTTTTATTTCCCCTTTTGTCCTCCGTCACTACTCATCGGAACACAGCCTTATTATTTTTGTACATTATCACGTTTTGTTTCATAAAGGTGCCATTCTGTATCTTTGCCTGTACTATTCTCTGAATAAAGTTCTGTGCCACTGAGCTTGCAATTCTATTCTGTCCAGTCTGCAATGTGTGTTTTTAAGTGGATATAGCTTGATCTGTAATAAACGGTAATTGGAAAGGGTATGTACCTAGAGTGTGTTAGAGAGGATCACCGAATGCTAAATCGAATTGGCACATTTTGTAAAGGTGGCTTATAAACTCTGTTTTTATCAAAACAATTTCCAAGTTCCCCCCACCCTGATGATTTGTGTTTATGTTGAAATAATATAGGTTAAGATACATTTCAATAGTCTATTTTCTTATCACACACTATATTAAGTAAGGTGTACACTGTAAGGTGTATTGGATCAGTAACGTGCCTGTCTTGCTTCTTGAATTTCATGTGGTGGAAGCAGGGAAAAATGGGCAAGCAAAATGATCTGCTTGACTTTGATAAGGTCCAAATAGTGATGGTTAGATGACTTGGTCAGAGAATCAAAACGATAAGTGTTATGGGGTGTTCCCTGTATGCATTGGTAAGTACCTTCCAAAAGTGGTGCGTGCAAGGAATAGTAGTGAACAGGCATCAGTCTCATTGATGCATATGGGAAGTGAAGCCTGTCTGCTCTGATCATACACAAAAGCTACTGTAGCTCAAATTGTTGAAAACTTAATGCTGACCATAATAGAAAGTTGTTAAAACTCACAGTTGGACTGATCAGCGTGACCATGATGACACCTGTCCATTGCCAAAAGCATTTAATGGGGACGTGAGCATTAGAACTGGACAATGGACCAATGGAAGAAGGTTGCCTGGTCTGACGAATAAAGTTTTCTTTTTAGATCAGATGGATTGCTGATGTGTATGTGTCGTTTACCTGGGTAAGAGATGGTGGCAGGGGAAGAAGGTAGTCTGGCAGAGGCAGTGTTATGGTCTGGGCAATGTTCTGCTGGGAAACCTTGGTTACTGCCCTTCATGTAAATGTTACATTGACATGTGCCACCTATCTAGAAATGTTTTTGCAGACCACGCACATCCCTTCATTGCAATGGTGTTCCCTGGTGGCAGTGGCCTCTTTCAGCTGGGAAGATCCCTTAGTAGGTTGAAACTTGTTATGCCATTTTTTGCTTTACATATGTTAATAAAAACCTTTTTAAAACTCATACTGGTTCCTGACTATCTTGAGAGGATTACTACCGCTTTTGGGGGACCTGATATATATATCTCTTCTATAGTTACAGTTGTTTTTTTTGTTTGTTTCATATTGGGTTCAATTTACCATCAGTTATTGTGAGGTATTTCTGTCGAATGTGTCACCTTTATTTTTCTTTAAAGACGTATGTATTAAGTGTTCCTTGTGAAATTTAAGCTGCACTGAGTTATATTGGTAGTGCCGCCTATACTTAAAATCTTTTTTGTACTAAATGTTAAAATCAGGACATGTCTCCAATTTGACCATAACTTTGTCAAACGCTAGTAAATGTATATGTGGGTTATTGCTGTACTTTGTGTAAATCTCCTATCTTTTGAAGTAGCAGGACCAGGGCCTCTGCTATGGTCACAGAAATCAGGGTACATAAATTTTTTTGGGTGTGGTTATCCGACTATCTCCTCCCATTTGGTAATAGCCATTCCAGACATGCATGATATATGGCAATAACTCCACCTCTTAATCCATAAATCACAGCCCCTTTTGTAATCAGACACACACTGACCGTCACATTTTCACTGATTTGAAACACACTGACCAACACACACATTTACACATTCTTGTGCATACATGCCAACAAATGTAATTTTATTTTTTTTAGACCCATCCAGCCTCCATACCTCTGGGAGAGCTGGTGTGGCTCCTGTAATCTTCCAGTTCCTCCCGGCTCACTTTTTAGTGACCTCATATTCCAACTCCTGGTGTACCGAGGCGTGGGGGGGGAGCAGTGAGCAACTGGAAGAGGCTGCCTGCCTCCTCCATGTATTTTTCAGCAGAGAAGGTATTTGGTAAATTAGGGACACTATAAGGTGGATAACTGGCCACCTATTGGGCCCCCTGTCAGGCCATTGTTCTGCTCCTCTCAGCACCCCTGCTTCTGGCTACCACATGGGCCTCATGTCACAGGCCATTGTTCTTCTACTCCTGGCACCATCCTTTCTGGCGCCTGGGTGGAGGGTTAGAAACACTGTAGAATGCGGCAAAGATTGGATGAACAAAAGGAGTAAGAGTTGAGATCCCCTTTTAATAGTTACAGAGCAGTTGCTATGTCATACATGTATTATTTTTTAAAAGGAGACTACTGACCTTATAATTACTATCGTCCATCTGCGTACTGAAAATGTGATTGCTTTTATTTTTCATTATATCAAGAGTTAACAGCACATAGATACTGTGTTCTGTAGCACATCTCACTGTATAGTAAATAATGCAAACTATTTTGATTAGACTGTATCCAAGAATACACCTGATAATTTTGTCTCAATACACTCCAATGAATGCCATTCATTTCAGCTTACCTCTTCACTTCTCATCACACCGTACTCCTCTTCTCCTTTGCCAGAACCCCATTTTATCTCTCCCATTTCACATCAGTTGCTCAGCCCCTATAAAGAAATTCTAGGGTGTTGGTGCATTTGTCTACCTCTTTTTCCTAAAAATGTTTTTATTAAGTGTTTTTGAGTATTACTTTTTTTTTTTTGCTTTAAAGAAAGAAATGTATTGGATGGGAATGTAGATGGAAATTGGTAATGATCTATTTGTATTATGAAGGTTCTTTCTAACAAATTAGTCAAGGTTAAAATGTTTATAGTCCAAAGGAAAGTTACAAGTGTAATGCTGTGGAGCCATTATTGTAGTGGTTCACAAACTGCATAGAAAAATAATTTTATATTATGTCCAATCCTGGTCTGGGGTTTCAATGCATTTCTCTATTTAGGAGATGGGGTGTAAAGCTTGAAGACCTTTTGGGGATTTTAGTTGACAGCAAGGTAGTTCTCAAAAAGGCTTAAAGCATTTGACTACTAGCTGTATGTTGTATCAACAATTTCTTATCTTTATAATGCATTAGCACAAGAGCAGATTCTCCCCTCCACCCCTTAAAATTAACTACGAGTATCAATTATCACATAAGTGTGCTGTATGTTATGGTACCAGTAGTGCCTTGCTAAGGCCCTGCGCAAGCTAATTAATTTAACCAATTATATTGGGGTGGATACCAGGGCACTCCTGGCACCATAACCACTACAGGTCACTATAGTAGTCTTGGTGCTTGTAGAGTTCCTTTAACCCCTTAAGGACACATGACATATGTGACATATCATGATTCCCTTTTATTCCAGAAGTTTGGTCCTTAAGGGGTTAAGCTTTAAAGTGGCAAATGTAATTAATATAACTCCCATAAGGTTAAGGAAGGCAAAAAGCACGTGTTATCTGAATGTAGCTCCCAGCTAGAACGCCCAGTCTTAGAGATGCATTTATTTAATTGTTACAAACAAGACACTAATCAAGTGAAGTCAATTCTGAATTTGCTTCAAACCTTTAATGTCAAAATTATGACAACCATATTGTGATTTATGTTTTTGTTGGCATTAAACATAACAGACCATATGAAAAAAAAAAAAATAAATAACTTTTGAATTGCATCAGAAATAGACTGGGTGGATGTCTAAAAAAACAAACAAAACAAAACAAAAAAACCACCCGTAGGTTGTACAAATGAAACTCAAGGTTATATATTTAAACCTTCATGTGAAGGAAACACCTATGGGTTTCAGTGGCCTAGTACTTTATTAATGAAAATCAAATTGTCCATTAAAAACTACTCTGGTCACATACTATTAACCTGCTTCAATAACCTCTATTGGTTTGGTCGATTGCAGGACTTACAGGGTTACTTTATATAGTACTAGAGTAAGAAAAAAAACACAGAGACATCTTACACGTTTTTCATTTCACATATTAACAGTTTGATCTAGGTACAAGCATGTTTTCATTCACATACAGCTAGATAGCATATGGTCACATTTACAGTGCAAAACAGAAAGCAAGGAAGTGTACATTTTTATATTCTGGAGATTGAGAAAAGCAAACCCAACATGCAGAATTTAAGATTTATTTGGATTATCCTTTCTGCAATAACTGTTATATAAAATTTAACACCCTTGTTAGCCTTTTTAAAAAAAAATAAAAAAAAAATTAGTTGGTTTTCTGTTTTGTTACTTTTGCGGAAGAAAAAAGTCCAAATTTATTTTAAAATTGCATTGGCTTTCATTTTAGTATAGGTGTATTAGGGCATATGTTCACTAACCAATAAACTGTGGCTTGTTGAGAGATGTCATGAAAGATGGTTTAAAACAGAATTAAAAAGACTAAGCAATTGATATTTTTTTATTTTGCAACTTGTTGTTTTAACTCTCTTGGAGTTGCAGTGACAATCAAGTTTGGAGAATAATCTAGCATTCTTAAATACTACTGGGGGGGGGGATGAAGCAAAATGGTCTTAATTCTGCATCAGTGGGCCTTAAAGTAACACTCTAAGCACCATAACAACTACACTGTGCTGTAGTGGTCAGGGTGACAGGAGTGCCCTGGTGTCCTCTCAGGGTAAGTAGTCAAACTGTTAGAGAATGTTCTGACTACATAGTTGGGTTGTGCCAGTTGCCACCGCTTGTGGAGCCTGAGCCTTGCGCCACTAAGCTAAGCCCTTCTGGTCATGACTGGCTCATTGGCTGAAAGTGCCCTCTGAGCGCTCTGTCAACTCGCAAAACCCAGCACTGTTGAACTTCGCTTAATGCAAGAGCACAGGAAGAGGCACCTATCGGACCACTGGTAAGCTGTCAAACTGTTCTCAAATAGTTTGAAAATTTACCTGGGGAGAATACAAATGGCACTCTTGGAACCAGAATTACTACAGAGGGCTATAGTGGCTATGATGCTTAGTGTTTATTTTATGTTGTTTGGTTGAAGATTCCCAAATAAAAAAAATTAAAATAAAGGAAACCCTGTTTTCCAATCAGTGTTTGCTAAGTGAATGTAAAGTATAAACATAAATA